TCCCCCCCCCCCCCCCCCTTTTAGGAAATCCTGGATCCGCCCCTGGAATGCCACCCCCGATGATTATATAAATCATCAGGTGGCATGTTAACCGAAAGTCGATCTAAACCCCAAAAACATGTAAAATTACTCTGAACACCTCAGTTAAATTTAGGTCCAAATATAGCTGTAACAAATTCTCGGGTCTCTAGCTGTGTTACAAAGTAGTTCTTGGAGGCCATGCAGCAATCGTCAACATCAGGAGTTCCCCCAGGGAACCGTAATTGGGCCTCTTTGGTTTTTGGTCTTTATTACCTACCTTCCTGTAAAAATTAAGGTTCACCATTCCTCGACTGTTTACGAACCACTGCCAGCTATAACGAACGCTTCTCATATTTGTGGACTCTGCGCAAAAAGTGCGACAATATACATCAAGGAATTATACAATTGATATGAACGACTTGAAGTATTTTGCACACTGATTTAAACATATTTTATTTGCATCAAAATATACATTGGGATTGGGCACAAGTTTTCTAACTTAAATAAAGCCCTTCCCCAATAAGAGGTTACAAGATGACATATATATGTGTGCAAGGTTCTTTAGTTTACTAGTTTTTATTATTATCAATATATAATTAGCTTTCCAAAACCCTTTGAATCTCAACTGAAACTTAAACTGGGATCTCTTTCATAAATGAATCTTCTAAAACTAAAATTAATTATCTGTTCATTTTATTTTTAAACTATCAAAGTGAAATTAGAGTTGGTCTCGCAACTTTAGAAATTAGAACTCAGAAATTTTTACAACGCACATTGAGTCGTCACACTCAGTCCCAAATCCGACTAGAGCCGACCGCGCTGAAATCTTTGATATTTTGTCGTGATTTTACATTGCAAATGTAGTGTAATTCTTGACTCTCGTCACATCCCGGCATCAGCCGAGGTTAGCCGAATAAACCGAGAAGTGACGAATCATTTATTACGTACGCATTATTTGGCTACGTCATAGCAAGTCCCGATTTGATTGGCTCAAAATGCTCACACCTTCGAGAAAAAAGGTGAAGGTCGAGGAGTCATAATGGCTTCATTATTTTGAGAGTAGGTAGAAGAGAATGGCATTTTCAACCACCACTCGTCGTAACTTATTCAAATGTATGTGCCGAACGACAAATAGGAAAACACTGACAACTCAGGTTTGTAAATGGAATGTACTGATCTTGTGATTGAAACATTTGTTTACTTAAGTGTTGGTGTATCTGACACAGGTCTTCATTTGATCGCAATAACAACAGCTGATTCGAGCCTCAGTGTTGTCACGTTTTTTGAGTGAAACTTTTACAACTAGAATGTCCTCCTGCTATTAACCCATGTTTTAGTTGTTTCCAAGTTATATATGTTCGAGTCATTCCAGGCGTAATATACATATATGTCCTTCATGTACATACATGATACTACCGTTCCTGACCATGCCCATCCATCAAAGCAGATGCCGATGACAATAAAGGCATATACTCTCAGTAACAGTTACTGTAACATGTCAATGTTTTTTTTTGTGGGAACGAACCCGTCTATTGATGGATATCACTACATGTAGTTTCTGTAACACTTCAAAGTCTGATATTTGAATGACTGGCGCGGGAGAAAAGCAATGGCATGGTCAATATCTCGTTCCAGGCCTAATCGTACACATGTTTGTTCACGTGATGTTTTGATCGACATTTTTTGCATTTAAGGTAAACAACTTTATTACACCAAAGGAGTATATTACATTTGTAACGTTATGAAAGCAGTGTTACTTGTTTCTTTATAATTCTTTCATCAGACATTCACAATTTGTTACATATGTTACAATAAAAATTGTACTGTTGAATGAATAACAGGAGAACGAAAAGAAAATGATAATTTAGGTCCTAGGATTCTTGAAATTCGTTTTCAAGCCAGCAGTGATAAGAAAGTGCAGGGTCCATCATTGTATTTATAAAATTTAATTTTTTTAGTGATTTATATGATCATTAGTGTCTGGACACTTGAGTGGGTTTTTTTGCTTCACTACCGAGTAGTTTGGTTATCCAGCAGACATTGATTCCTGGAAACAAGACTCCAGCATTTTTATATCAAGCTCATCAACTGATATTGCTTCTTGGATGGCAATCTACTGTGCAGTTTGTCCATGTTTAGCATGTTGTATTTATAACCATATACTGAGAGTTACTCCAGTGTCAGTCTACTTCAAATGTTTTAAATGAAGGCAAATTTACTCTATTCATTCTAAGGAGGGAGTTTCTATATGCACAGTATACTTTCTTTGAAGGAGAATTGTCAAACATCTGTTTAAATGGACAGTACTTCTCTCCTATTGCAGACTTTTATAAAGAATAATTAAAAAAAAGGGTTTAAAACCAAATCATATCAATGTCATTTGAAGAATTGAATAGGTAATGTGAAGGAGTGTTTCAAGCATCACATTGACAAGAGTGAGTTTTTTACATATATTTTAAAATCAAAAGTTAATTTTACTGGGTTACGACTTCTGTTGAGGTGAAATTGTGATTTTATGGACCTAATGAGAGATACTAACCAAGACAAGTTTAATATCACTTTTCAGGTCTGTATATAAAAGCAGTACCACACATTCACAAAAATAAAGCTCCTTACTTGTTATGTTAGATATGAGATTAATTATAAAACAAGATACAGATAGAATGAAAAAAAATGTCAGAAGAAAAGAACTCCTTTTGGCAGAAAGTGTTTTGATGTTACAATGAATTGAAGTGACATTATGTAGAGAATATTAATCTACTGTTTCTAAAAATACAATGTAGGGAGATCAAATTCACATTCTGAAATGAGGACCCACATGTGATCATGTCTTTACCAATCAGATTTCAGGAAATGTATTCTTCATTACAGTTTTATTTTCATTTGGTACATAATATACAGTTCAGATGCACCTTAATGTTGTCTTTGTCTCAATTACAGACTGACATGTTAAAGTTTGGCTTCATGTTTGATATTGATGGTGTCATTGTCCGTGGGAAGAAGTTATTACCATATGTTAAAGAAGCATTCCAGTTACTTACAGACAGATACGGTAACTTCAGGGTCCCAGCTGTGTTTGTTACAAATGCTGGGAACACCCTCCGTCAAGACAAAGCAGAACAGCTCTCCGAATGGCTTGATGTCAAGGTAATAAAGTGTGATAGAAGTATGTGATGGTGCCCCAGTGACATGAATGCTCCTGGTGCTTAGGAAACTCTAGAACGAAAGTTTGCCTTTACTATAGATAAAAATTGCTGCAGTTACATTGCTGTATACCTGTATATATACATTTAAGTAATATGTATTGTATACATAATCAGTTTTTATAGGCAGCACTTCACATTTCGTATGTAGAGTGACTATACTGTTTTAAGAATTGTTTAACTTGAATCAAGTAAAAGTTAAAGACAAATTTAAAAGGGAGTTTGCTTGTTTAATCTTGTCTTTATAAATAAGAATAGAGATGGGGCAATGGTAACAGAGTTCAGGAGAGAACTGTTCCAGATATTTATAGCTTAGACTTCCAACAGTATTCCTACAGTTTATACATGTAAGACTTTTTGTTTCATAATCATATGATAATCCAAAACATTTCCATTGGTGCTTAAATGATATGGTATTAATTTCTAAGAGATCTTCTTCCAATTTTTATTGAAAAACAAAACTTGCAATCAACTAAAACCATAACTTGTGCTCCTTGAAATAAATATTGTATACTTCAATTTGTTATTTTGATATTGAACAGGTGAGTAGTGATCAAGTTGTGATGTCACACAGTCCTCTAAGGATGTTTCCAGAGTTTCACGATAAACATGTACTGGTGTCCGGACAAGGTCCTGTGGTGGAGATAGCACAGAATCTGGGATTCTCAAAAATCACAACGATAGACCAAATACGTCAAGTTTTCCCTAACTTAGACATGGTGGATCACAAGAGAAGGAGATCATCTGTAAGTTTTAGGATTTTCTTGGCCTGCATGTTGGTATCATTTATTATAGTTGACAAAATTGATCATTTAATAAAACCTAATTAATAGTTCAGATTAGTAAGAAAAAAATAACAGCTTCTAAGTTGTAAAGAATATGAAGTTTGAAAAACGTAAATATTTAAAAATTGTATGACTCACAAGCAAACAAGATCATCAGTAACATGTGAATAATTTGGAGCTCAGTATGGAAGAACTTGAATTGACAATCTACAGGAAATATGAGAAAAATGGCAGCTGCAACTTTGTAGCTGGTTAAAAAGGTTTTTGGTAAATGGTATATTTGTAATTTTGTTTTTTTCAGCCTAGAGAAGAAGACATGAGATTATTTCCACCGGTAGAAGGTAGGTATAAAAGTTATAGCTCACACATATAACTATTTATTGAACGGTAAATGTGATAACCCTGTTTCTTTATAATGGGGGGGGGGCGCTATCCAGTCCATAAACTGTCAATGGTCCTAAGTCCTTTGCATTATCAGTAACAAAAATTGACCTGTGCTATGTCCAAACTTTTGCCAATGTTGACCTTTAATGTATTGCTTGACTGTGTTGCTGTTCTCATTAAAATCCAGTTGCTGGCAAAAGTAGCCAGCTATTCATCAACTTTATACAAGCTTTTTTTTCAGAATACATATAGGTCAATATTATAGCATGTGAACAATCAACCGGCTATTCTGTACAAGTCAACTACCTATTTCTAAACTAAGTGAGATCATTATAGATTCAACATTCTTACCTCTCGGTCCATAATATTTTATGTTGGAAAAACAGACCAGTATTTTGTTGTTTAAAAACACAAGTGTTGGATCAAATTTGAAACAATTTGACTTAATTATTCTTCAGCGGTTATTCTGTTCGGTGAACCAGTGAGATGGGAGACCAATCTACAGATCATCATTGACGTTTTACTTACCAATGGTAAACCCATGTTTGCTCCTAGGGAGATTCCATACCCCCACCTACCTGTACTTGCCTGCAACATGGATCTACTATGGATGGCGGAGGCATGCATGCCCAGGTAATAATAAATTCAATAAAGTTTTGGGGTGTCAGAGTGTTGTATACTGTATAACATGAAAAGTTTGTTTTGTATAAACATTCATGGTTTTCATGGTCGCTATTGAACCAAGAAAATGAATACAACAAATTGGAATGATACACGTGTCTACTGTTTGTTAATAGAGGAGTACCACAAAAGTTTGTACCACGAAATAATCTAGATAGCTTCAAACCACGAAGGAAAGTACCCACGAACAGTCATGTAATATAGTATTTGGTAATGATTCTAACAATGGAAGGATGATGAAAGTAATTAACAAAAAGATTGTACTAAAATCACACATTTTAATGTGTTATTCAACTTTCTTTAAAAAATCTATTAAGTAAATATATCTGTTATCAAGAAAGCATTGACATTAGTTGCGTGATGAAATTGGGCACCATAAAAAACATGATCATATCCATGCAAAAATTGTCTGTTCTACCATTTGGTAAAACTAAAAGAAACCACTCTAAAAGATAATATGAAATCTTTGTTGTATTGAATGTAAATGTAAGGATTGAAATTGTCTAAAACATTTATCATGTTATGCAAAACTGTTCCTTTCAAATACATCTTGTGCAACTTGCGAAATGATTGAACAGAACATTTTTGCATACATTATATTCATACTTGTTAAATAGATGCAGTTAAATGTTTAAACAGATGATTAAACGTTTTGCTTTGTTTGTTTACTACAGGTTTGGACATGGCTGTTTCCTCACCTGTTTAGAACATCTATACATGGTGAGATTTCACAAAACTAAAATGTATTCTTTATATCTTGTTAATCCTGTAACTTATGTTTCAGGAGAAAATGTAAGGATTAATAGCTTTCCACATAAACAATCATTACTTTTGCTGAAAATGATTTCCATTTTAGCTTGCTATGGTGTATCATTCAGCGTTTGACTTTTGATTTTAAATACTATGACTTCTAGCTGTGATTTTCTAGTGTGGATTTGGGGCCTTATAAAGGCTCCTTCCCCCAGATAATTTTTGCTGTTTTTTCCCAAAATTAATACAAAAATATCTTTATTTTCTAAAATCATGCTTTTTTGTTGGTGATATTTTCCTTAAATCACAAGACACAGGCCCCTGTGGAAAGGATGAAGAAAATCACTGTTTCTAGTCAAAAATTCGAAATAAATGTGTTATAAAGCATTTCTGGTCAAAGGAATTACGATATTCTATTACATGAGTAGCTAACGACACCACGTGCACCCCCAACCCTATCAGGAGTGAAGAGTCATATATATTACAAATAACATTCATAATTCTGCTAGGTTTGTTTCTAGTTTGTATAACACATTTGTGTGAAAGTAACGTTTGATGCTCTCTCTTTTAGAAAATTACTGGTCGGGAATTAAAGTACACTGGATTGATAGGAAAACCAAGTGGAATCACATATCACCATGCCGACTCTATACTTTGGCACCAGGCCAAGAGCCTGGGAATACATCAACTAGACACACTGTATTGTATAGGGTAAGTCTTGATCAGGGGACAATGGGTTACCCTAAACTAACTTTTGTTTTCAGTCATCAAGTGAAATCTTATGATTTTTACTTTCATAGTACATGTACATATTTAGGGGAAGCTAATAATCAGGTACATTGTGTATGATACAATTTCTTAGTATCACACTTTCAGACAGACAAGACAGTTTTGTATTATCAATATGTATAGCAGACTTTGCTGAAAGAAATGACTTTGACCTACATTATGTTCTGTCAATATCATAATATTGTTTTATTTTCAAATCCAGCATCTGAAACAATATTACTTTATTTATATGCAGTTTATGTTTTCTTTAGGGATAATCCGGAGACAGATATCTATGGTGCTAACTTGTACAACAGATATATAGAGCGACGACAGGAGGAACAAAGGTTAAAGGTCAAAGTGAAGAACACAGCAGGTGGAGTTGCACACCTACAGGACATGGACACAGATGACGACATGGAAGGTCTGGTTCACTACTCGGAGGATTCTGAAACAGGGCGACATTTCGCGCGTAATTGTCATTCAATTCTGGTGTGTACGGGTGTGTATTGCTCCTCGCGGGATTATGTCACCTACGATTCTAGCCAATTGTCCAATCACAATCATCGCGACTTTGTTCTTGATCCAGAACTCAAACAACCCAAAATTGTGACAGCAAACGTGCATGAAGCTGTCAAATTTGTGCTGCAGAAAGAGGGTTTGTCTTGATCACTGCCTAACTATAGGTCACTTTACGTCTGCTCTCCACTGAAACGTTATCAATGTTGCTTTTAATGTGTGTATTGTTAATTCTTGTAAAAGAAAGTCGTGGGAGATTTGTTAAAATAATGTTGATTGTTTTGATTTAATATTTTTTTTCAATTTCAGTTACTTGATCGTGGTTATTCAATAGGTTATATGTTATGTCATACTCTAACAAAGAATTAATTATAATTTTATTGTTTGTACTTCTCTAGATCTGTTTAATTTGTAAAAATATTTTTTATTTATTACAAATATTGAGATTCTGAGGAATATATTTGTTACAGTAGGTCCATTCGTTTAAGCTTGATTGGATTGCCCAGTTTAAACCAATGACCAATCATGACTGAGATGAACAGAATGTTACATGGTCCTAGTACATATTGACCTCTACCTTAATCTTTGAGAGGGCCAAGTATAAAATATATGTTATTAACTAGCCACTGAATAACATTTTAAATAACTGCGTAAGCAATTTATTTGTTTTGTTTATTTTTATTTTACTGTTGAAATTTGTCTCATCCAACAAAGTGTGAAAGTTGCCAAGAATAAGTGTACTGTTCAAAGTGTTTCATGTATTAGAGTTATTCCCCTTTGTTGGAAAGGATGCAGAATAGTTTGACTGCTAATGTATTGTGAACAGAAATAAAGATGTCATGATAGAATTTTTGTATTCAAAGTAATACATACCTGGTATACATGCAGGAAGCAGAGAAATATAATGCACTGACTACCCTACATGATACAAATGTATGTTTAGTGAAAGTGTAGTTAAAAACCTTGGGGGAACCATTGAATTATTTTATTAGGTATAATTTTTGACAAGTTTTTAAACTCAAGTGACAATTCTTACCGGGGTACATGAGTGTGTGACTTGGTGATAAGGAAGAATTCCCTGGAAGCATATTTGTGATAATTGTATGATACTGTACTGGGAAGGGTAAAGATAAAGGCTACATTCGCGTTACCGGTTGAAACGGTACGTGTGGCGCAGAAATTTTCCACGATAAACGAACACACTTGGACCGTTCTATAAGCAGAGCTAAAAATGCACAGTTTCGGAGAATAAAAAACAATGTATCAAGAATATTATGCCCTTCTCTCACGCGTCCACTAAATTACATAACGTATCTTAAAAACTACATGTGACTTGACATTGTTTTAGAAAGAAATAACGCAAACTAGCAATATTCAGCAGTTTAGTTTCGGCCAGGTACGTCTGGACCCCTCAATCTACACGTACCAAATTTTCCTGAGGTCAGCCTCGGTCCAAATCTGTACCTGTCGTTTTCTTTACAGGTTCAACCGGTTCAACCGTTTCAACCGGATACGCGAATGTACCCAAAGTAACAAGCAGAGGTGCAATCTCTTAGTGTTAAAATGATATGACTATTGTAAGCAACATCAAACAAACAGAGGTCTCAGAACCAATCCAGAAATATAAAATACATTGCAATGCTTTTTTCCTGAACTTAACATTAAAATCAATGGATTAAATTTTAAACAGTCAAATATGAGGTTTTGCAGTGAAAATGAAGTTGATATTTTTCTACTGTGTTATTTTCACATTAAACTGACTAGTTAGAAAGCAGGGTTAAGCGTGAAAACTAACATACAATTGGCATTGTCAATGTGATCTTATAATAGCCTGATGTTTTCTTAGTGTGATGTTGCAATACAACATTCCTTGCCTCACCAGTTTTTGGCAAGAGATAGACTAACTGTTCAATGAAGTCCATGTCTTTATAAAGAAAAACAGAATAATCTTGGTTTTACGATGAGGAACATTGATATTTTTCACATGTGTGAATTATAAATATGTATGAAAAATCAGCTCATTTTGATAATGAAATCATTTGTACATTTATTTAAATTCTAAGTCACTTGTTTTTAATAAATTTCTAAGCAGAGGATGGTTTTTGTAAAGATGAAATTTTATTTAATGATTTTTAAGTAATGTTCTGTACTATAGAAATTATATCTTATACAGTGTATTATTATTATTATTCTATTCGTAAAAAGGATTTTCTAGTGATTCTGAACAAATTGCTACGAAGGGTATTTTTATAAATCTTCTTTTCATTCCATCTATCAGTATATCCACATACAGATCAAACTTTGTTTTCTTAGATACTCTGAAAAGGGGTGCCTGAATTTTTGCTTCGTATAAAATTGACTTTTAATAATATAACCTTCCAAATAATATGGAAAGGCATCTTTCAAGAATTGACAATGCATAACAGCACCAATAACTATTGAAGTGTGTATCTTTATGTGTGAGTTCTTAGATTCTGATATTACCTGATGATAAATGCATACAATTCTGATAACCTTGAGCTCATAATGACATTGATACAAATACATCAATAGGAAGAAAAAACATCTTTGACTGTGCCAAAATGGCATATATGTATGCTGTAATGGATGGAATAGCACCAAACATTACAGGATGATTCTTCAATTTTTGTAACAGTCAATTCAATAGATTAATATTCTGTGTAACATTCTACAAGATTTTTTTTCTCTGGCATTTATACTCTAAATGTTTTTATTACATAATTACCATGTTATTCAGTTAATACAGCTACAGATGTATGTATGTCATGTATTATGTGTATATAATAATACATATTACCATATTCAATGGTCATGTCATAGGACTTACCATTTCATAAAACGCTAATGAAATATTGAGTACTTATCACATACTTCTAGATTTTGGAAGTAAATGTTAACTTAATGAAATTAAACATCAAGAATGACCTTGAAAAGTATTCTGAATACAATGTATTCACAAAAAAATAGCAAATTCCTGTCGTTGTTTTACAAATTGTTGTGATAAATAATGTTGTCCTTGACCTTTGAACCTTAAAACATGCACTCATTTGAGTTATTGTCATACTTGACCTTCATGTTAAGTTGGATCAAAATCTGTTAAGAAATGAAATTTCTAGGATGATTGACACTAGAAACCCCTTTTTCGTACTTCCCCAGGGTGATCTCAGGTTTTACTGTATTCAAGCGCCAGTGAAGTCTTAGGTCTACAGCTAGCTCTAGTGGCATAGCTACCATGTGCAATGACTTGTGCAAAAATTGGATACTATTTGTGTTGTAAATGCTCGCATGATTGACCTTTAACCTAGGCCTGTTATACATATGTAGGTGCCCCATATGGTTGCCCTTAATCCTGTTAAAGGTGACCCTTGTAATTGACTTTTGTCCAATTACATGTTTCTAGGCTTCATGTTTCATAACTTGAGATTTTAGATATGATTTAGAAGAAATTTTCACTCTCCATCCTTTATGGCCTGTATTCACAAAGAGGTTAATATGCTCCATCACTCAGTTAATGAATGTGAAATTACCTTGAAATTTTTATATTATCTAATATGTCATAGATAATTTAATAGGTTAATGTAGCTGAGTTTATCATTCCAATATAATGTATATTCAATTTTTATCCAATCATAGAACTTGACAAGTGACAACAAAGATGATTTGAGCACCCACCCTGTTGGAGCATTAGAATGAGATTATAGATACAGGCCCAGTTCTAGTATGATTTATCATACAGTTCTGACAAAGAAAAGGAAACTTAACATGTATATTGTGTGTGTTGTAGTATCAGACATATTGGACCCTATGAGGTCCATAAATACCGGTAACTGAATTTAGTTAGAGGTCTAGTCTATAACAAGATGCATAGTCAGTTTTGATCATTTAAATGTTCATGGGTCTTTTTTGTTGTTGTCTCATGTGATCTTAATTCTTGTTTTACTGCGAGACACTTTAAGAATGAGATGTTAAGCATTGTATGTACAAATTTTTAGACCACACTGTATGTGTGTTGTCTTGGGATAGTGATGACATGAAACTTTCAATAGTTTCACGACGAATACTGTGTCTTACATTTCATTTCCATTTCAAATGGAACATTTTTGAGAAAATTACTAAGAGAAAATATATGGGTTTTGCATAACTTAATCAATTTCATACAATGTCATCTTTATTAATCTGATACTCTTCTGACACAGTAACTACCATGTCATAGTAAAAATCTATATATTATGCAACTTAAAACTATGATTTTAGCTTTGTAGTTATTTTTGTATTAATTAAATAAGTTTGTAGTTTCAGAAATGTATCGCTCCCTTTTAAGATTTATCGGTGCTTTATGCTGAAGTATAGGTAGCACACTTCTTTGGCTGGTGGTCTAACTTGTGGACATCATCATATGATACAGTAGTACATATTACAAAACCTTCTTCACCCAAATTATGATAATCAGGAGCTTTCATCAACATTTAAGAAAAAGTAGCATTTATTGTCGGACATATTAGCTAAAGATATTTTTTTCCATGCATTTTTTGGGTTAAGATACCCTGGAAAAAATCATTCATGTTATCAGAGTTTAAGGAATTGCTCATGGATAATTTTTCCATGTATTTTTTGGGTTTAGATACCCTGGAAAAAATCATTCATGTTATCAGAGTTTAAGGAATTGCTCATGGATAATTTTTCCATGTATTTTTTGGGTTTAGATACCCTGGAAAAAATCATTCATGTTATCAGAGTTTAAGGAATTGCTCATGTCACGCATGTCTATAGTGCTATATACAGATACAGGGGCTGTGGAGTTGTACAAGCCTAGCTTCTCTGGAACCTTCATTGTTCCTCTCCTCGTTTGTTCTCCCCTGTGTATGTGGTATTGTGTGTATTTAAGTGATCACATTATGTAATAATGAACGAAAACATACTCCAAAGAATGCATTGATATTAAATTGGTCCAGTTTGCAGTATTCTTACTATGGTTAAATACATGTACCTGGTACATGTATATGGAAAGCAACTTGATCTTGCAGTCTGAAATAATATTTTCTTACAACAATTAGCATGAGATCAGTATTTATTAAAATCGTGTTACTGTAATATTTGCATGTAAGTTATTGTAAAGTTTCAAAATCTAGAACCCAGAGGCATCACAAATTACTTTTTTCCTATACAAGATGCATGTATCTTGTAATGCAAGATTGCGATACATTCAAAATGCCAAATACCAAATTGAAGATTTATTTTATCACATGACTTCAGAATTAATGCAAATATTTGCCAAAAACGTGTTTTTCTGTGATCACTGTCAAGTCTTAAGCATTACTGTATTGAGATAATGTGGTCAATACAATATAAACGTCATTATGACATCACAATGAATATGGATGCTACACAAGGTAATACACAGATATGACTCGAAGGTAGTCACTGCATCACATGATAGTCATGTGATCATACTCAACATGTGCATTGACAGTTATTGAGAATTACAAGAGATAAAAGCGATTATCATGAGGGGAGGTAATTATATATATAAACATCATTAACAAAACAATTTTTTCATGAAAATATAATTATCAAGCATTTTTCTCTGACAGAACACTCACTGTTCTAGGGTTTTCATGAAATATTATATTCTTGAATATACACCCAAGTATTAGGTAGCTAATTTGAAGTGTCAACTTTAAGACGCTGTTAAGTTAAACATCTCCTATGCATCCTAAGTAAGTTTGCTTTTCAACAGAATCTTCATGGTTCAAGAAAGTGTATTTGTTTTAATTTTGAGAGACATGCTTAGTGGAAGTGTTAATTGACGTGATTGTTATTGTTACGGTATACTACCCATGTAATGGTAAAACCCTATAGTTACACTCCTCAATATAAGGACGTGATCGTATTAGATCCTGTCCCGTCTTTGTTTATTTTCTATACATTGGGTGTTGTCTTTATGAGATCACATTCATAGTTGTTACTATGTATACTTTTAATAGTCTGACACCATGAGTGAGCAAGCAAGACTGTATTTTTACGATATTAAAATTCGTTTTAAGTTATGTACTTTTGACTCGTGTTGATTTTTTCCCCTGTCAACTGTTACAACTTGAACCTAGCTGTTTTATGGTCCAACTGTTAATGTACTATTACATTCAGAACACTTCGGTTTCCTAAAAAATATCTAAAATATAACTGGTTGTGATGAGTGTATTCAGAGCCTCCTAAAGAAATATTGTCACCAAAGTCCAAACTATGATGCCATGCAAAACTCTCACTAATTAATGTTAGCTTTAAATATTGTGATGAGAAAATAACTTATATAGCAGAACCTTCATCAGTGATTGTATGGACACCTGAATTGATTTCAAAGTAAGTCGGAGCTGGAAAAGTTTGGGTCAGAGTTTTTAGGATTGGGTTAGACGTCAGATGTAGGTCTCAGTGATTATATATTTTGCATACCTAGGATATTTGTACATTGTACAACTCTTCGTCTTTCCTTCATATACCCACATGCAAAGTTTGATCATACTTTTAGTTTGTTTGTGCTTTACGTCCTATTAACAGCAATGATCATTGAAGGATGTGGTACTGGAGGAAAGCCGGAGTTCCCAGAGAAAAACCACCGACCTACGGCCAGTACCAGTGACTGCCCCGAGTAGGTCTTTAACCTGCGACCCAGAGTGGAGGGCTAGTGGTAGCAGAATGTCAGACGCCTAAACCACTTGGCCACAGCGGCCCCAAACTTATCCTGATGACAATACAGGAAATAGTGTACCAGAGATGCCCTGTAAACAATATTTCCTTAAATAGGTNTTGGGGCCCCGCCCTGGCCCCAGGGGTTGGGGTAGGAATCCCAATTTTACAATTTTGAAGCCTCATCTACCAAGGATGATTCTGACCAAGTTTGAAAAAAATCCATCCACTGGTTCTTGAGAAGAAGTTGAAAATGTAAAAGTTTACGCACGACGCACGATGCACGACGGACGACGACGGACGAAAAGCAATTAGAATAGGTCACTTGAGCAAAGCTCAGGTGACCTAAAAATAATTTGGTCAGGAAAGAAATGCAATGTATTGGATAGTTGTCGTAATTATTACTTTGTCATTGAGGAAATCCATACAATGTAACCTGTCTAAACCAGATAATGCCTGAAACTGGGATAATTTACTAGTTTATACAGGGTCCAAATATTACAGGTTTATGCAGGGTCAAGATGTTACTCGGTGATAGTAAATATTAACACTTTGAACATACAATGTACAATGCATATTTTTAAACAAATAAATCATTTTAAAGAGAAAATAGTGCAACTGTTTTTAAAAAATCTGTAAAGACAGGGATCTGGATTACACAGGAGCCAGTTTTGACAGGTTATACTGTTAAGTAACTCTGTTTATTGATTTCAAACTGTAGATCAGAAAATTATTTTCTAACACAGGATGTACACGTATTAAGGTTTTCATCACATATTACCTAAGGCAAAAAAACAATAGCCATTTCTTTCAAAATAGTTTCAATTTAAGCACTTGATTTACACATTATTCTTTATAAACATTTATATACAGAAATGTACAAAACATCTGGCAGATCCTCCAATTTACAAGACAAATAGAATCAATTTTATCCAACAATCAAAATCACATATACACTTCTCACTGAAACCTGACTTACTGACACCTAACAAACCTGACAACCTGTAGTACATTCTAAGCGACTGTAAGTCCTCAAATTACCATTTTTTATCGTGACTCTACCAACGCATNGGTAGCAGAATGTCAGACGCCTTAACCACTTGGCCACAGCGGCCCCAAACTTATCCTGATGATAATACAGGAAATAGTGTACCAGAGATGCCCTGTAAACAATATGTCCTTAAATAGGTCATAGTCAACATAGGTGACTCTGACCTAGTTTTTTATGTGACTGTGTTTTCTTGATGTAACCATATACCAAGTTCAATGATCACTGTTGGAGAAATGGAAAGTGGACAAGCATATGGCAAACACTATATGTGCTCTTTGTTGTCTGCACAACAAATTTGGTCAGGAAAAGGAAAGAAATAATTTGGTCAGGAAAAGGAAAGAAATAATTTGGTCAGGAAAGAAATGCAGTGTATTGGATAGTTGTCGTAATTATTACTTTGTCATTGAGGAAATCAATACAATGTAACCTGTCTAAACCAGATAATGCCTGAAACTTGGATAATTTACCAGTTTATACAGGGTCCAAATATTACAGGTTTATGCAGGGTCAAGATGTTACTCTGTGATAGTAAATATTAACACTTTGAACATACAATGCTTATTTTTTAACAAATATATCATTTTAAAGAGAAAATTGGGACTGTTTTTAAAAAGTCTGTAAAGACAGGGATCATGATTACACAGGAGCCAGTTTTGACAGGTTTTACTGTTAAGTAACTCTGTTTATTGATTTCAAACTGTAGATCAGAAAATTATTTTCTTACACAGGATGTACACGTATTAAGTTTTTCATCACATAATACCTAAGGCAAAAAAACAATAGCCATTTCTTACAAAATAGTTTCAATTTATTTCAAGCACTTGAATTACACATTATTTTTTATAAACATTTATATACAGAAATGTGCAAAACATCTGGCAGCATCCTCCAATTTACAAGTCAAATAGAATCAATTTTATCTCACAATCAAAATCACATATACATTTTTCAGTGAAACCTGACTTACTGACACCTTGTTTTACAGACACCGAACAAACCTGACAACCTGTAGTACATTCTAAGCGACTGTAAGCCCCCAAATTATCAGTTTTTATTCGAGACTCGACCAACACCTGTCATGAGTGATCAGACATTTGAGTCCCACTTTAAATCTGTGAAGACAGGTTTTACTGTACAAACAACAGATACACCCATCATCTTACAATTATAATGCCTAGTCCAAGTTTCATACAATATTAAAAAAATAAATAAAAAAAAATGCTTTACTATGAATGTCTAGAAATGTCCTTGAGTAACCAAACATTCTTGAAATGGGAGCCCTGTCCTTGATTTCTGGCAGCCTAAAAACTTGATGTAAATTTTCATTTGATAATATATCATGTTGTGAATGATATTGAATTTTAGGATAAATTCAAAACAAAGCAAAGAGTAAAAAGACCATTATTTAGATTTGAAAAGGCACTTGTGATCAGTGGTTATCATGCTGTTAATATCACACTAACTTCACTGCGACATCTGTCAGATTTTACCCCTATACAGTATTAATCTATTAAACTTTTACTCAAGAGTATTGCTAGAGTTTTAGGTGCATAGACATACACTGAGACCAGATGTGTCGTTGATAATCAGTTGACAAGAGTGTCGGACGTTTAGATTTGGGTAACTCTTGTGGCACTGTTACTATCGTGGTATGATGTAGCTGTGATTTTAACACAAATGTGTACATATCATTAATACATTAACACAAATGTGTACATATCATTAATACATTAACACAAATACTATATGTTTTGTACAAACATACAAACTTTTTGATGAATTTTATACATACCACAGCTCACAAACATACAAACACCTATACCTATATACAGAACAGTACAAATTATGAAACAGCACATGCCAGCTCACTAACTTACAAATACTTGGATATATATTTTGTACATACCAATTCAAACACACTATGATAGTACATACCAGTTCACTTACATACACACACTTGTGTGTTATTCCAGCTCACTTACATACAAATATTTGGGTGTTATTCCAGCTCACTTACATACAAATATTTGTGTGTTATTCCAGCTCACTAACATACACACACTTGTGTGTTATTCCAGCTCACTTACATACAAATATTTGGGTGTTATTCAAGCTCACTTACATACAAATAGTTGGGTGTTATTCCAGCTCACTAACATAAATCTTTAAGTACACAATCACACTAACTACAGACATATCATATAAGACTTCTGTGCTCATTGTATTCTGGCCATAAATTACTACAGTTCTCTGTCGTATAACTACACCACTTTATTATGTTTTTACATTTCATTTAACACTTTCCTTCTTAAAACCAATTTTCATTTGCCTTTTAAATGATAAATAATAATTTATTCAAACTCCAAATGACCTTATTCATAGTATCTGCAGAAAATCGATTCTGATTCTGATTCATTCTCACAACTTCTGTAAGAGACATTGAAACATGGAACAAAGACACAATCTGGTTGCTGGGGGTGTTTTCATGTTTTCAAAAAGTAAATACATCCATCAGATTCTTAAAAAAATTGCAGAGTATATTTATTACCATTGAAGTTAAAATTCAGTAAAAGGTGACAACTTTGTTGTTTACGAGTGGGAGGAACCTGTAGGTTTTTAGCAGACATTAATGAGCTAAAGAAGTCGTACAAGAACAGTGTGTCTGTAGTAACCCTCACACAAACTCACCACTCCCAACCCCTACTATAAGCCCATCATCTCTTTAGATTCACCCTCTTCTGTTTGCAGTGATTCACTGGCATATCTTTGTAAAAGCTCCAGCTTTTTTCTTTGGACAAGGGCTTCTTCAATCTAAATGGAATTCAAGACATTATAAATACATGTAATTACATGTTTGAAAAGAGATGTAATGATGATGGTCTAGTTAATAAGAATCTAGACATACATAAGTTGTGTCAGCAAGCCTTAATACCCAAAACATTTATAGTCAGCAGCATACAATAGCATCCTTTACAGAACCTTGTAAAATAATAATTATCATAATAATAATAATAATAGTATACAATATTTGATATAGCACCCTATCTAGCTAACATAAGCCACTCTAAAGCGCTTTACAGTACATAGACAATTAGCATATACATAAATCAATACAATTTTGAGGAGTTTGCAGGAGCTGCCTTATCAGGCGCTACCTAATAGTCCTATGCCACCTGGCTAATATCTCCCTATGTGTGTATGCCTGTGTGTGTGCTGGAGATGTAATGTGTTCTGTTTGTAGTGGGACTGTGCTTCCAACGGCATAATTTATAGAGCCATCTCACTTGAATGCTACAGCACAAAGACCATAACATCCACCCCAGACCAATTTATACTCCACCTGTTTTGCTGGAGTTGTGTAGGCAGGAGAAAAACACTTTCTCTGAATACCCATGCATATGACAACTTCAGGGATCGAACCCTGGCCACCTGCGTGGAAGGCCGGAGTGTAAACCACTCGACCAATCTGCCCATAATAATACTACTGTATACCAGGAAATCTTCACTGCAGTTTAACTTTTCGCCTTTTTCACCCTCAGTAACCAGGGGGAACTTATCATTACAGCAAATATAAGTAAGCAGAATAATTAGCATAGAAATTAAATGTGAAAGACGAAATTAACACTTTTCAAAAATTGATTTCAAGTGTGAAGGGGGGAATTTCCAGGTGTACAGTATCTTCATCTTTAGTAGACTTTAGATTACATTAGCCTAAAATGATCGACCATATCTAAATGTGATATCTTTCAATTTTTTTCGTACTATAATACATTAGGACCATGGACTATGCCTTATAAACTACCAACCATTTTGGCATAGTACATTGTATATGCAAAATAAACACAATGAGTGAATGAGTGTATAGACGATTACCTCTTTTTGTGATGGTACGGGAACGTGTGCTATAAAATGTTGATTCTCCTCCTCAGCTTTCGATGTCTCAATTTCATCTTCTTCAATCTTCAAAAAAATATCAAAAACTCTTTTAGATCATATGGGAATAACAAACATGGTTCATACTCGATAGGCATAGGAAAAAATCACCACTTTACTAATATTTCTTCTAAACTCAGGACAACATCAAGTTTTTTTTTCTTGTGTGTTGACACACTTTAAAGAAACTCAACAAGTATTTTGTATGCATAACCAGTATTATATCTTCTGTCCTATGTGTTGACAAAATATGTATTTTGTCCTGTGTGTTGACATATCATATATATCGTTCTGTGTGTTGACATATTATATCAATTGTTCTGTGTGTAAACATAGTATATATATTGTTCCGTGTGTGAACATATTATATATTTTGTCCTCTGTGTTGACATATATTTATATTGTTCTGTGTGTTGACATATTATATATTCTGTCCTATGTGTTGTCATATTATATATGTTGTTCTGTGTGTTGACATATATATATATTGTTCTGTGTGTAAACATATATATTCTGTCCTATGTGTTGACAAAATATATGTATTTTGCGCTTTGTGTTGACATTTTACATATTTTGTCCCGTGTGTTTACACATTATTACATATTTTGACAGATACCACATATGTATGGGTATATTACAGGAGGTCTGTGTGACATATATATGCTTGGGTTGTACCTCCTCTTGCTGGTACAGGACTGGCTCCTCTTCCTCTTCCTCCTCCTGATCAACCTGGCTACCCTGGGCCCGTGCCTCCTGTTGTTCTTTCCATTCCCTTACTGCCTGGGTGATGGCTATAGTATGGAGAAGAAATGTGTTTTGACCGAAGCTAATTTGGTAAATAATACAATTGAATTTGAGATTATTATGAAAAAAATATCAGCTCCAATATAATTGTGAAAAGTAGCTGAAACCAAACATATTTTCCTGTTAATCAGAGAAAAGAGTTATAGTTAATTGAAAGATGTTGCAATTATTGATTAAGACATAAGCAATGTACATATTAGCTGTTACCTTTTTTCGCAAAGACAAAATCTTCAAGGACAAGTAGAAATACTTTGTGAATAATTAGTTTGAAGAAAGATGAAAAAACAAAAAAATATTCTTGGAATTGACTGATTTAATTAAGTTACAGTAGTGAATACATTACACATATTTATACATATATATATATATGCTTGTGATCAAAACCCATAACTACGGATGTAAAACATTACCATCAACCAATTTATTATCTAGAAGATTCATACCTATATCTTACAACAGAAGTTATCTCTTTTGTATTTTAAGATAGAAATACACATCCAAAATTCAGAACAGGAAAAGAGAAAGTGATTTTCTAGATGGCTACCATGGTGGCCATTTTTAATCTGAATAACTTGTACCTTTACGACTAGCTGGCGAGTAGCTTATGGTTAATTGTACCCTAAAAACCAGTTAAATAACAGCTTTAATACTGCTTTAAATTCAGGCATAATATCACCGGGTGACAAAGGGTGGTGTTTAGGATCCATTTGGTCTACCAATCAAAAGGGGAGTCCCTACACACAAACCTTCTTTTTCTACTTCCTGTTCTATAGGTACGATAATGCCATCATCTTCGTCTCTGTAACCATAGTAATCAGCGTCAATGTCCTTCATCATCTCTGCTCGTGTTTTCCGTACCATTGGAGGTGCTAGTAATAAAGAGCTAACTTAAATATAGACGTCTCTTTTAAAATTAACTTTAATCTTGTAAGAAAATAATTAGAAAGTTAATTTACTCCAGATCCAGATATAAATGCTGCTATGTAGTAGTCCGTCTTTGCGTATTGCAGAGTTATCTTCTCTTGGGAGCAGGTATTGATTGTTACGTCATTGGTTTGTGTGAGAAAATTACGTTGTTTTTTTCAAAAATTGATGACGTTACTCTCACAAACAAGTGACGTAACAACCAATACCTGCTCCCAAGAGAGGATAACTCTGCAATATGCAAAGACGGAATAGCATACCAAACATAATGGCTTGAAGACTAGTTAACTCATAGAATTCTTATAGCAGTTTAATCTGAATAGCTTCAGTGGTAACATATACTTATTTTCAAGAAGAAAATAATTGGTGTCAGTCAGAAATTAGCAAATATTCACTTTTATCTATTTTTTTCTCTCTCACAAATTTGAGCAAAATGGAGAGCATGTTGGAAAATGACCGTCATTACTTAACACTGTTCAAATAAAACACAAGGTCTCGTAATAAGATTTAAAATGGAGCAACATACGTTCTTGTTCAAACAATTCTTTGACACCAGGAAGTTCCTTTGCAGCTCCAAAGTATCTGAAATAACCACAAAGTAGGAAAGCAGGTTATATTAGCGCTTCAGCTTATAAAAAGGCTTCTAGTTACCCGGTATGCTAATTAATAAAGACCTCAGTTATACTAAGTGCCTTTGGCTATACTAAGAGCCATAGTTTATCTTATTAGGGCCTTGGCTATACTAAGAGCCATAGTTTATCTTATTAGGACCTTGGTTATACTCAGAGCCATAGTTTATCTTATTAGGACCTTGGTTACCAGGTATACTAAGGGCCATAGTTTATACCATGGGCCTAGGTTTTACTTAAGTTCACTGGTTATACTGTGGGCCTGGGTTACATTTAGGGCCTCTGGTTACCGGGTATACTAAGGGCCATAGTTAATACTATAAGCCTGGGTTATACACTAAGGTCCTCTGGTTGTACTTGCATTCCTTGATTTATACTAAGGGCCTGGAAATTCTTAATACCAGTATCTTTGAACAACAATTGACAGTAGGGAAAAATAGGTTAAAATAGGAATATACGAGACAGATTTTCTATTGGGAATCCACTTTGACAAACCCAACAAACACCAGGCAAAATCCCTGATAACTTACTTGTATCCCCTGTTTCCTGGTGCTTCTTTTCCTTCTTGATCCAACATTTTTGGTCCAATTTTCTATAAATAAAATAATTCCATTCAAATCAGACTTTTTCTCTCCCCTATTCTTGGCTATAATAGTGTAATAGGACCTTCAAATAATTATGTGATGTCATATGCAAATCTGTGATTGCTTTCTTAATGGGTTGTGGTATAGAGAACATCAAATTCATCCAACTCTCCTTATGCAATTGTGAAATTCCAAAAAGACACTTGATAAACCTTGTGTCCCTTTAAAATTTGTAAATTTCTGTGTTAAATATTGTACTCTCTTTTCTTCAATGAAAAAAAAGAATCTCCAAGTGACGTAACAACCAATACTTGCTGGTAAAGCCAAAACAAAAACTTTGCTGGTAAAATTGTTACAAAGTGTACATACTCGATAGTCTGGTCCATTGAGATCCTTGATGTGGTCTTCCCAGTGGCCCTTCTCTCGTAACAACTTGTTAATTTCATCATTGAGATCTCGTAGTCGGAACTCACCAAGACCAGCTTGATTAAAATATCAAAAATAAAATTACACATTATTCCTCAATATTATTAGCTGTTCTTTCAAAAAAAATATCTAAACAGTTTTTGTTCAAATAATTTTTAAATAATTTAACTATCATTACCGGGTAATTGATGGTGTAAAATTTTACAACTGTACAATTTGCTTTTCAAATAAAAACAAAATTAGGGGATAGTACGTTGTTTCGAGTGTCTATACAAATTGATGACGTTACTCTCACAAACAAGTGACGTAACAACCAATACTTGCTGGTTAAACCAAATTTCATGTTCTAATCGCCAGTATAGACACGAAAAACAACGTACTATCCCCATTCTAACACACCTTAACAAATATAATACGCTAATATGTTTACAAACATTGTATTTCCTTGTACGAAAGTACTTTGCGAGCTGAACTGGCGACGTGTCATTCTGCAGCGGACTGACCAATCGGAAAGAAGCTTTCAAAAGTCGGTCATTTAGCCCCGCCCATACTGGCGAGAGCTCGATCTGTATGTTGACGAGGCGGAATATTTGGATTGTTCGTGAACGTCCTATTACCAAAGTTTATACGACACATTCGGTTTACTATTGAACAAGTTCATACATGTCAGTATGCATACCAATCTGTGCTTATCGACAAAATCGGTGATTATTTGTATAGATTTGTGAATAGTTTTGTGTAAATGCATACGACACATGTGAAATGTTTCATTTGATTTCGGATCTAAATAAATGCCTTCACACGGATGGAACGAACGTTTCAGTAATAAATGGAGGTGTGTACTTTTTACTTTTCAATTCATTCAACAAATACATTTCATCGGTCGTTTCTGTTCTGTTGCCTTCTAGCCGTATTAGCGGGATTTCGCTAAGAGGCGAACTTGACGCCATATTGTTTTGGTTTGAAACGGGGCGTGGCTTAAGTGCGATGGGAGGAGCTTAACACGATTGATCATGATTCTATCGCAGATTAGAACATGGTCCGTATCCAATCAAAACACGCGTTGCAAACGAATCGTGTTAGAATAATTCTTAGAGCATAAAATATGTTACCAGTATCAATAAAGCAACATTAAAATCTTGAAAAGTGAAAAAAATAATAATGGGAAAGACTTTTTTTTTTGAATTGTGATCACTATCATTACCATTTTGAATTTGAGCAACTTTTCGTGAAACTTCTCCAATAATTTGTCTTCTGTATTTTTCAGCTTTCCTTAAATCATTACATTCTGAAGCTATGTATGGCCGTCTCTCCTGAAAGATACAAATACATGCATATAATGAAAATAACATTTTCCCCCAAATAAATAGTTTTAATTCAAAGCTTACAGTATCTAATCTTCACAAGTTTATTAAAAATATGATGACTGTCATGAATTTCTATGGTAATGAATAAAAGTAATATTCGGTGAGTAGCATAAGGTAAGTATTTGTAGGTAAAGGGAGATAATTTGGTAGAGTCATTTTAAGACATTTTGAGTGGCCAGTTTTTAGGAAAGAAAATTTGATAGTCATAGTAAGTCAGTCATTTATAGGTAGACTTTGAGATATTTTGGTCCCTTTCACATATCCGGCTCAACTGTTTCAACCAGCTGAACCTTAAAAGGAAACGACAGGCTCAGATCTTAACTACAGCTGAACTCAGGACTTTGAAACTGTACATTTTAAGCTCTGCCTAAAACTTTGGCACAGTTCCAGCATAGGTGTTTATGTTTATCATGGAATATTTTTGTGTACCTTAAACCATTTCAACCCTGATAAATATGCGCTTCAACCTTAGGTAGCCTTGATAAGGGGAGATAATTTGGTAATGTTTTACTGATGTTTTACCTGTTCCTTGTTATCACCAATATGAGCTGCCCGCCATCTGGCTAAAGTTGTCCTGTAATAAAAATAAAAAAGGATTCAATCATGTTTCATTTATATATATGCTGTTAACTTAGGGACAATTATACTTTCTTTATAGTCATGTGTAAATCATCTGTCAATACAATACTGACATCTTAAATGTAGGTACTAACTAAATATAATGCAAATTTTCTGTAGTCCTCTTTCTTAAAATAATAAATTGATAAATGACAGAAAGTTTTTTCAGATTGTTTTTGTCATCCATGTAAACAATTATCTCTTTTTCATTTCATCATGCATTTATGACATCATATTATTGTTATTATTAACATGATAATGGTTGTTATTTGCAAAATATTAAGTGAACTGTGTTACTTTGAGTGGATTTGGATGAGTTGTTAACTCTGAAAATCTAAGCAGACAGTCAGACTTTAACATCTAAAGTTGCTGTAAACATATGAAGTGTGCAGTATAAATGAAATAATGAAAATTATACTCACATAGCTTTTTCACTATTACGAGCCTGTGGGGAAAAAAAACAGGAAAAAAATAAGACAAGCAAGAATATCAGATGAATTACAGTATTATCTGACGATAATATGACGATAGAGTATTATATATACACTACATTAAACTCATGTAATTAAATACCAAAACCAAATAGAAACCTACGCAATTGAGCATTTTAAATCATGCAATGTTTGTACATCATAACATGTACATTGTAGAGGTATTCTTTAACAGTGTTTGATGAAAATAAAGCATTGTTTAAATTATTTATGAAATATATACCGGTAATTACAGCCTGTAACATGTGTCATAACAAGTAACACTTGTAGTTAGTTGGCAGTAAAAGGAATATTGTCTCACCTTAACCACAGGTGTTTAAAATTCTAACTGTAGATTGAGATATACAGAGTGTATATCATAAAAAATACCTGTGCCTCTAGTCAATCAGTTAGACAGTTTACTATTTAACTATATTTATGTGACCCCATGCAATGAGCCACTTCATAACTATATATCTTTATCTCGGTCCAGGCCCTTAGTCTCTATCAACTTGTGAAAACAAACAGATATGAAGTTAGTCATTCTTTCGCAGAATTTATCATCACCTATATATTTATTACAGAATCTTTGAAGACCAATCGTCATAAAATCATTCTCATCATGCTCAATTCATATTCTGTTTTCAAGCTATAATTCAACTTTAAAACTGAGTTTTAAATCTTCTGTATCTAAAGTCAAAAGTACATAAAACACATTTTTTTTTATCCTGTCACAAGGCCTCGGAGATCTAATTAGATGTACAAGAACTTGAGCATGAACAGTTTTTAAGAATAGGCACCAGTGATAACAAAACGTTCAAAATCGTGACATGTCATGGCCAGTTTCCTTATAACCAAGATCTATATTGTATGTACTGCAAGACAGCTTAATCCAATGCATACCATGGTATCTTCTTGTCGAAAGCAATGTCACAAAATACTTCAGGAATTTGTCTTTTCAGCACACTCAACAGTTGAAATAAAAGCGGAAACGTTGTGTGTATGGATAGTCGGCGTTATGAAGATGCTTAACCCGTGTGTTGTGATTACCCGTTAATAACAAACGTTTACGTGATCTGAGCACTACATTTGTCAACACACATGAAAGACATCAACACGTGTGAGATGAATAGCTGAAACAAGATGGTGAGTTTAAAAGAGTGGAATTGTACTAAGGATATTATAAAGAGTATGTAANGGGGGGGGGGGGCTTAGTATTGACTGTTACAGTGCTGCTAGACGGGTAGTACTAATATTAATACCCGGCCTCCTCTGCGACGACACAATATATAAAATAAATTTCTCGTCGTCAAAAAGCTACGTTATCGCAGCTTAGTGTAATGATGCTGAACATAATTATACTTTAAATATAGGCACCGAAGTAACAGGAGAGGGGGAAATACAATGCGGAGATACCTCTTGACACGGCTGCTGTAACCAAATAAGCTAACCCCAGCACCTGCCACTGGTAGTCATCCATCTCATAGCTGCAACGTAGCTTTCTGACGACAAGAGATTTTGTTTTTATATATTGGAGGAAGCCAGCTGGTACTAAATTACACTGTGTATATATAGGCACCAACCAGCACGGACTTCGACCCAAATGCTCCTGTAAAACGCGATAGCTAGGAGTTTGTCAGCAGGAGAACAGGTGGATGTGATCCTATTTGATTTTAGCAAAGTGTTTGACAAGGTCCCACGTCACTACAGCCTGCTACATGAACTCGACCATTATGGGATAAGGAACACCACTCTGAAATGGATTGAGGCCTTTATCTCAGCCAGGACACAACAGGTTCTACTGGAGGGCCCAGTAGCATCCACAGTGGATGTCATATCCGGAGTCCCCCAAGGGATGGTGCTCGAACCATTACTGTTTTTAGTCTACATAAATGACATGCCTGAATGTATTACATCAAACGTTCGTCACTTCGCTGATGATTCCATCCTGTTTCGGCGCATTAGGAGTAGGAAAGATGCCCTTGTGTTGCAGGAAGACTTGACAGCCTTTGAAAGATGGGAGCACATGTTGCAGATGTCGTTCATCCAGAAAAGGTGTACTGTCCTCCATATCAGCAACAAACGGCGACTTACAATCACCAGCTATACTCTTCACCGCAACATTTATCTTCAGAGGGAGGAGAAGATCCAGAAAGACCTGGTGGATATCCCAGCTGATGAATATACCTCAGGTGGCGACACAAGGACAAGAGGATCCCAAAGGCTGCGTGCAGTACAGGCACATAAGGAATGCTGCAAACAATCCTTCTTCCGCAGAACAACACAGCAGTGGAACAGCCTCCCAACTTAGAAGGCGACTGCCCCAACCCTAGCGGCCTTTAAGACCAAGCAGGACAGCCTCCAAGTAGGTCACAAGGCCTTTTCCGGATAAATTCATACTACTGGCCTTTTAATTGTATATGCTGCTCAAGAGGTTTTTAACCGCCAACCGGCATGTGCTCCGAGTGTTGAACCATCCCAGGGATGCCCACTCCTGTTTTTGAAGAAGAAGAAGGATAATTAATAAATAAACATGTGTAGGCCCCTATGATATTGTATTATATAACATCCTGATTGTTCCCACACAATACAATTACATAAACAGCTTTACATTTATTATTTACTGATTAAAACAAGCTCCTGGTTTCAGAAGTGACAGTGTGTATGTGTGCATGCTTGATAAGGGGAAATTGATTGATGGTAAGTAAGTACCATCCCCTGGCCTCTGTCAAACCACCTCTAGACAGCTAACCCCAGTCTTTATAGTTTCAACTTTTCGAATTCAGTGCACAGACTTCTCTTGATTTTGCTCTGTTTTAATTGGAAGCTTTGTTTTGTTTTGCAAGCATTATAGTGTATTGAGAGTCAAAGAGAAGACAAGGAAGGCTCTATCATTGTCTAAGTTATTACTGAGCCTTGGACAAAGCTTGGCATGGAGATAATATCTGAAGCTAGGTTATAGATAGTGTTGTTGTTATATAGGGGCACACCTTACAAAAAAGGGAGGAAGTTTGTATTAATAATAATAATAATTTGAGGTTCTTATATACTGCTTTATCACAACCTAGTTCGTAGGTCGTCTCAAAGCGGTTCACAAATTATTATTCGTGGTTATAGGGCCTTTGCAACCAGCCAATATCTTTCTCAACTCCCTGGGGAGCATACAGCAGGGGCTGCAATTTCGGCGCTAACAGCTAGCATTCTACAATTCTAGCACTACCCAACGACATACTCATTTACAGCTGAGTAGACTGGAACAAGCAGAGTAAAGGATCTTGCTCAAAGATACAACACAGTGCCGTGACTCTAACCTGCAACCCTTCGGTCACGAGCCCTGCGTCCTACCACTAGACTACCGTGACTCCTACTTGTACGTGTAGTAGGACTTGACTGGGTGACTACTGGACAAAACTGTTAACCAGCCAGATAGCTCAATTATTTCAGAGCACAGACTTCTAATATATAGAAAAATTTAATCCAATTCCATTGAGTGTCAAACTTGAGCCTGCCCTGTTTCATTTTCCCTCACATCCCAACAGAATATTTATTCATTTATACTACACTTGTACATGTGTTTCAGCGTGTTTATATGATATAAACCTTTAGGTGTTAATTTTGTGGAAGCAATTGTTAATTTCATTGTATGCCAGACAAGGATTGAAATTGATAGCCTACACATACACTCAGAGAAAATCTCCCAATTTCTTAATAACATTGAAAAAAAAAGTAAAAACAAAATAAAAACAAAATAATATGTTTAGAGTCAAATGTGTTGAATACTTTTGTTTTGGATACGATGCTTAAGGTTTTTGTAAGGATTATGATGAATGGTTTGGAAAACAAATGACAGATAATTAATGGGATTTAATTTATGGTACTATTATTTTAATTTTGTTTCTTTTAACCACAGCTGAGAAGACAAGCAAGACTCCGGAGAGAGTTTATCTACAAGAAGTCCGAGGAACACAAGGAGAGAGGCATACAAGATAAAAAACAGAGGTTGAAAACAGCACTAGAAAGTAACTATATATTTCTTTAACAAGAGTGAAGAATGTTCACTCATTATTCATTCTTATTTATTGTGTCTCTTTATAGTGTAAAACAGGCTGAAATAAAATGCATATAAAGCAGACCTTTTTTCAGACATTGTGTAACCAGAAAAAATATATGCCAGTTGGCAATCAGTGAATTATAGGGTTATCACTTGTATTAACCTAAGAATTTAAACAGTACTTTTAATCAGCAAAATTTAATTACATGGATGCAAGATGATAAAATCGAATGATAGGAATAAAAACTGTCAAAATCAAGTCATTTTGGATTTCACATGAAGTATCCAAATACGAATCCATTTTCTATGGAAGAAAAATAATTATGATTCTTGTAGTGATTGTGTATACGTAGTGACACCTAACACTAAATCAGTAATGAGTTATGGGCCTTGGGCACGTGGAGTGTTCTAGGGGGTTAACTAGGCAGACATTAAAAAGGGACTGGATTGAATTTGATGTGTTGTGTTTTGAACATGGTTAAATCCGTCTGATCTACAATTCTTTTCATGTAAGTTTTGTGATTTTTTTTTTTCAGGCGGTCAACCCATACCTACTGACTTGAGGGCAGATGCTGTGGCTATTCAGAAGACCTTGGCCTGGGACGGACCTGGAGCAGAGGGTTTGTTGATTGATGAACTTCTGTCCTTGATCTAAAAACAATATCAGATTCTATCATATTCATTTTCAAAGCTTATTTATGTGAAAAACTTTGAAGAAGAATTTTCTTTCATTTGTTGATCAATACATACAAGAAACAAAAATAACTGTTTGTCTCACCTGATGACTGAATACCGATGCTTATAATATTGTATAATGGTTGAATTTGTGCAATGCTTTGTCATTAATGTGTGAAAATACCGGCTTGCTTGGTGTTGAATCTGCTGTTTGGGGATTATCAGGTCTACATTGTTCTGTTGATACCAATATTGGTTGTCATGTCTAATTCATGAGTCTATTTTGTAGCAAAAATCACAAAAAATCTCACTTTTTAAAGTAACCATGAATGCAGCACCATATAGGCAATAGGGAATAAGAAAATTAGAAACATTAAGCGTTGCACACAGAATAGTTTAATGTTACTTCCACTGAGTTTTGGTCAGACTTTAATGTTTAAGCCAAAGTAGTGTATGTGGATAGATGACTGTTTCATATAATGTATTGTAAGAAGTTTGAGCATGATGTGAATTTAGGGTTTTATCTATCTCTTGAGATTTCCCCTTGCATAATCTCTTTGTGAATTACCAATTAACACTGAAAATGTACTTATATCCCATTACACTGAGTACTGGAGAATAACTAGAACATGTATTAAATTCTTCAATGCTGTGACTTGTTTCAACTTTGTATTCAGGAAGGACCAACAGATTCGATGACGAGTACAAATGGGCTGGTGTGGAGGATCCCAAGATTGTCATAACAACATCGAGAGATCCTAGTTCAAAACTCAAACAATTTGCAAAGGTAATTGACACAGTTTTATATATGTGCATGTTTTCAATGGGTGTATTGTTTGTTTGACTGTAATACATAACATTATCGGTCAAAGGCTACAAGGCCACAAATTGAGTTCAAAGATAGATCAAAGGCTAAGTTAACATGGTCAAAAATTGAGTTCAAAGATAGATCAAAGGCCAATGTTACAAGGTCACAAATTGAGTTCAAAGATAGATCAAAGGTCAAGGCTACAAGGTCAAAATTTGAGTTCATAGATGTAATTGATGGTCTGGTTTATACAGGTGTACAGATTATACAGTCGAACAGTTACTTCTCATGAATGTATTGTCTTACTATCTGTTCACAGGAGATGAGACTGATATTTCCAAACAGCCAGAGAATAAACAGGGGTAACTACGAGACCAAACAGCTCATGGACGCCTGTCGCTCCAACCAGGTAACAGACCTGATCATGGTTCACGAACATCGAGGTGTGCCCGACGCACTGATTGTGTGTCACCTACCTCACGGTCCCACAGCCTCATTCACACTGTCCAACGTCGTGATGCGACACGACATCCCAGACGTAGGCACTATGTCAGAAGCATACCCGCATCTCATCTTCCACATGTTATCCTCCAGACTTGGAAAACGGGCAAGTTTTCTTCTTTATTAACAATGCATTGGTGGATTAGATAACAAGCATCTGTTACTCTGTTTACAGCTTACATTGCTTACAGTGGTGTTTTGGTGTTAATGTGGTCTTAATGAGAAATGCTCACTCTTTTATTGAATCAGTGGATTTAGATTGCCATGAAAAATATCACAAAATTAACCCTGTTTTCTTAGAGGCTCTCAAATGAGTACCCATTACATCATAATATCATCGCCTGTTACCAAAAGTTTAGCCCAAAACGACCTCCAAGGAGTGGAGAGATTGCCCTGAGATTTACTGTGGGTAACTGAAGATGATATTAAATGTGATTTCTTTGAAAAGTTTTAGCTAGTTTTTAGCTCACCTGGCACTTCGTGCCAGGTGAGCTTATGCCGTGGCGCGGCGTCCGTCCGTCGTCCATCCGTCCTCGTCCGTCAACTTTTCCTTTAAACAACTTCTTCTGAAGAACGGACAGGCCTAGAGTCATGATATTTGGCTGAAAGCTTCGTTGGTAGGAGCCCTACAAAGTTTGAGAA